CAAACTCAACTAGACGGGTCATCTGAGGGCGGAGAGTAGAGCAAATCAAAGCGGCCCAAGTCGGCGAGGAAGCGGAGGGTTGCCTTTGTCGCACGAGGGTCGCTGAGGAGGTAGGCAAGGGAGGGTGATTTCAGTCGGAGGGAGGCAAAGAGGTTTGTGCGGGGGTTGGCGTGGAGAGGGCAGTGAAGGAAGAAGTGTTCGCGGGTTTCCGGCTCGCCTCCGCAGGCGCACATGAGTCGATCGGGGTCAAAATGCGCCGTGTAGGCGCCGAGGTCGCAAGCGCCCGTGCCTAGCATTGTGAGAAGAGTCGATTGGCGGCGCGAGAGAGCGTACCTCCACGGCGCACTCGAGGAGGAACTGTACATGCGTGTACCGGAAGGCATCGACGACGGCGAGTACGCCGGCAAGGTCCTCAACCTCGATCGCGCGCTGTACGGCCTCAAGCAGGCCGGCCGTGTCTGAAATCACCGGATTCACGCGACCCTGGAAGGACTTGGCTACCAGCGCACCAAGTCGGACGCCTGCATCTACGTCCGCAGCGAGGGGGGGCACACGCACTACATTGCCCTCTACGTCGACGACCTCCTCATTGTCTCGCCTGCTCTCAATGAGATCCAGCAGATCAAGGACGGCCTCAAAGCGAGTACGGCATCAAGGACCGACATGAGTCTCTTCTAGGCTTGAACGACTTTAAACTTGGAATTTAGCCTATCCTATCCTCGGCGAAGCCAAGTTCATCTTCCAGGTGCATTGCCGCTCGCATGGCGGAATCTTCCTTTCCCACTGCGCGCACCTCGAGGATGTCCTGCTCCGCCTGGCTACGCCGACGGTCGAACCGCCCCAACGCCGATGCAGCCAAACTTGCAGCTCACTGTTGCTCCGGAGGACCACCAACCCACCCCCGCCTTCCGCTCCCGCTACCGTAGAGAAGGTTGGCTTGTTGGGACAAACAGTGCACGGGTGTTTGGGCTGAAAATGCTTCTTTATGTGCTGAAGCCCCAAACAGTGGTCCCCAGTCAAGTGAGCAGGGGCAACTAACTGGTGGTATGAAGGCAACATCGGAAGAAAGGTGACGCTGGCGCAAAAGTTGTGCAACAGTCAAGTCTTTCAGTGCTTTGCCCTTCTTTTTGACGTCTGGGGCTTTACCAAGAAGAACAAGGCTTTTCTTCAATGCAAAGCAGCTTCTGTTACCTCAAAGGCTGTCATATTGGACAGATGGAAGAGTAGTGATCTTGCAGGGCAGGCCTAGGCTGCTTTGAGCGCCCAAAAGGTTGAACGGGCTGACTTGGGCACTGGTGGTGTACTGGACAAACAGGGCTGAAACAGCTACAAGAAGGCAACGAGTCTGCTGGAACTCTCCTAGATCTTCTGTACTGCCTATCCACTGTGTTGCTACTAAGGGTGGTATGCAGCACCACAGAGAAGAGCTGGGGAGAGAGCTTTAGACTCTTGTCTGGCAGCGCTTGTGCCACCTTTTGAGACTTATCTATCTATCACCTTTATGCTCGTCCACTGCAAGTTGATTGGTGGACCAGCGGCTGATCTAGGAAGCTGCGGGACAGTCCGGAATTTCCCAGGCCACATGGAGATCACTCTGAATCAAGATTGCAATGCACGTAGAGAGTGTAGGGGTGAAGAGAAGAGAAGGCCAGGAGTGCAACTGAAGCAATCAGGTTTCTGCTATAGTACTGCAGACCCTATCGAGGAGGTTGACATCTGCTGGACTCAGAGTCCACTTGACAGAGACAAGCAGACCTTTTCACCCGTAAATGCTGGGCCAGCATTCTTGCTTGTCTGCTTGGCCTCGCTTGGCCTTGACTTCCTCCCCTAAGTCTCCTCCTCCCTCCTTTTCTTTCAAATTGAACTAACACTCATTTGAGTACAGCTGTATACACTATACTGTACTGGACCTAAAGTGACAGCTCCGCCTTGAGACTCGGGGGAACATGGTGGATGTTGGTGGATTCTCTTGGGCCACTTCTATTGCTCCCTCACATTTTCCTCCTCCTCTTCCTCTTTAGCTCTCAGTTCCCCTTTGCCCGATTTCCTCCAAATTCTAAATCGAGTCACTTTTTATTGGCTCCACGACTCACTACACCCTGACTTGCGTAGCACGCGGTGGCACGCGGCACGCCTCCTCTCGCGTTGAGCCGTGAGGGTGGTGCCAGGTGCCCTGCAGTTGATGTGTCCCTAACTGTGTTGAATGCTGATCTGGAAAGCGGGTCCATGTAGATATAGCTGTAGATATTATCCGGGGGAGATCAGGGTCAGTGGAAGGTTCAAAAACGAAATGGCAACAGGTAAAAAGTACTTGGAAAAGGGAAAGGACTCTCGACTTGCAGAGCACTTGTTTGTGCTTTGATCTGTGTTGAAGTGGCATACAGACTGCCTACAGTACCTGTTTCCAACTGTGCATGTTTGGTACAGTGGATACTGTATCAGTCACGGTCTGGGGTCTTGCTGCCTGCTGGCCTCTTGACCTCACCTGTGTGACGTGTCTCGCGTGTCTGCATCGGCTGTGTTAGCTCCCTGTGAGCTGGAGCTCAGTGTAAGTACCCGCCTTGCATCCTTGCTGCAGTTGACTGAGGCATGTGTTGTTAGAGAATCACACCCCGTGCCCGTCTGCTCCCGTTGAACGGAGACGGGCGAAAAAAAAATTGAAATTTGGGAACCGGGGTGGCTGCCGGGGACAGGCGCCCGTCTGCCCGTCTCAACGGGGAATACGGCCCGTAGAATGGGGGACAACGGGCAAATTCTGAAACACTATGTACATAAGGTAGTCTGTGACATTTTAAAGCCTCCTCTATAGTGCTGGACCCGTGCAGGCTCTTGCAAGATCTGATCAAGTACGCAGCCTTCTTGAGGGCTTCAATTTGAGCAGCTCACGTGCAAAGTGATTGCCCGATCACTTTTTCTCTCGCCCTTGCGCACTCTCGCTTACTCTCACTCTCTCTGGAATCTGTGTTGCAGTGTACAGTGAAGCAGCAGGTAGGAGGTATGGATAGACAGCTCCAAGCTGACACAACCCAGGCAAATGCCCGTATCAGATCCATACGGGGTGCTCAGGCGGCAGGCCTGCTGACGGGTCCTTGACGGGTGCCGGGACCCCGTCCTGTACCCGTTTTGCGCCCGTTCTGACGGGAGTGATTCTCTAGTGTTGTCCCTGACGAGTCCAGGGGAAGGGCCACAGGAAGTGCGTCGACAGCGGCATCGCTTTAGAGCGGACATGTACTATATATACGACAATTCCGGCAGTAAACTTCAACCAATTACAAAATGCGTTTGTGGTTTAGTGGTAAAATTGGGCATTGCCAGTAACAGCTTCTTCTCCTAGAAGCCTGTCTGAGTTGCCTAGCCCCGGGTTCGATTCCCGGCGAACGCATTTTTGCTGCCGGGGGGATGGACACGGCCCTGCCTGCCCGCCTTTTTGCACCGGCAGGGTGTTCCAAGTGGTGCATGCCACTTGCGCTTTGTTTGCTTGAACTCTCACTGACACACAAGCCCAGTGTCACACTTTGTGCCACACTAAAACTACTTGTAAGTCGGTGCAAGAGCATCCGCCTCTTGCCTCTTGCGTATCAACGGCAGACTGGGCAGAGTCCTGACTCAGCAGCTGACACTTTGCAGCTCCCAGGGCAGAGTACATCCTGTCCAATAAGATATAGCAGTATTGGCATCCAAGCAGATAGAGCAAGGAAGAGACCTAAAATGGGAAGTTACCAACAAGTGCAAAGACTCAGGATGAATGTGGGCCCAGCATGCAACGGCCAGAAGCGTCCCTCCAAGTAAGAGACATATAGGATGTGTACAATGTGAAGCAAAATGCCAGAAGCAGCTGCACTCTGCCACTGCACAGAGAGAGGCTAACTTTTGTAAATCACAATTTTGCAGGGACACCACCGCCTTGCCACCGTACCACTCTCAAGCTCAATGCGACAGAGGGCGTCCTGCTCAGTCTGGTGGCGCAGCTAGTCAGAGACGGGCATAGCAAGTCTCAGATGTGCAAGAGCGGATAAATAGTGACTTCAGTCTGGATTTTGAGGAGAGATGAGCGAGGAGAGGGGTGCTACAGGAGAAGAGAAGCTACAACAGGATCCGAGCGAGCACATCTGCCAACACCGCATTGTCCGTTTTGACGATGAGTTCTTGAGGCGGCGACCGACACTTTGTGCCCGGCGCGGTAGAGTATGTGATCTGCAATAGGAAGTAGTGTTAGTGACGTTCCAAAGGAAAGAGGGAGGAAGAGACCTAGAATGGGAAGTTGATGACGAGCGTCAAGCGACGCAAAGGACGGGACTCCGACCCAGCAGCAGCTGGTTCTGCCATCAGCCGTAGCGTGAGGCAAGAATCAAGTTTGAGGAGCAACCGCGATGTCAACTTCTGCGCGTCACTCCTGCACCTCCCCTCCATATGCCTGCAGCCTCCGTCACCATATCAATACACCACATAGATCTGCTAATGGTAAGGCAAGAGTCTTACAGACGTCTTGCACTAGGCCTGCTCCTATGGATCTGTGCGCCCTCACTCCCTCCAAGTCCTCTGATCGGCGATTCTAAGTCCTTTTCCTTTTCCTCTCGCTCATGTTCTTGCAAACTTTCACTGACTTGGTCCATCCGAGATTACAAGATCAACACATCAACGAGGTTCTGGATGGTCAGGGCGACGGAACGGCAAGTGCAAGGTAAGTTGGATGATTGAGCTTGGCAAAGCGAGGCCCTCCTGTTGTACTAAAGCGCCTTTGCATTGCCTTTTATTCACAGCAATAGACAATAAGGAAGCATGTAGAAATTCAGGACATCTAAAAAGGGAGCAGCTGCAGCCGCGCCAAGGCCAAAAAAGAATTGGCGACCACAGTGGGGGTCGAACCCACGACCCTTGGTTTCCTGCAAGTCGAAGACCAAAGTGCTAAACCACTACACCATGCGGCCATTGATGAAAGAGTCACCACAGTAGCAAATACATCCCCATTGGATGCCATCCGCAAGAGGCGTGGCGGCCGTGTCAAGGTTGGCCTCGCTCTCGATCGTGCATCACCAGTCTGCGTCGACCACGCATCGCCCGGACGACCAGGCCTTGCTCGCCTGCCAGCTCCTCGACCCGTCGTGCGCTCCCCCTTTGCGCTCGCTCGAGTGTAAACTGCCTCAAGTCATCCACCGCCGACTCATCCTTCATCACGAGAACCTCAACCCAAGTCGACCACACGACAAGAGACCGACAAGATGGGTGGTGGTGATCTCAACATGAAGAAGTGTAAGCACTCGTCACCCCACATCGAGGGGCAACCGGCCTGACCTCCTCCCCTTCTCGCTTCCCAGCGTGGCACACGGGGACGTTCGCGAATCAGGTAAGCTCTTGCCCGGAAGTTAATCTCAAACTGGCAGGTCAACAGGCCCGGCTGACACGATCGCCCCATGTGCCCTCAGGAACGCGTATGGAAGAAGGAAAAGGAGGCACTCGAGGAGCGCAAGAAGCTCCAACAGCTACAGAAAGAGCTCGAGCAGGAGCGAGCCGTGCAGGAGCTCCAGCGGCTACAGGAAGCTGCCGGAGGAAAAACACGGGAGCAACGAGTCGACTGGATGTACGCCGCCCCGGCCGAGGGATCTGGACCGAACCCCGATGAACTCGAGGCGTACCTGCTTGGCAAAAAGCGAGTCGACAAATTGCTGAAGGGGAACGAAGAAAAGGTGAGCGCGCACGCCAGCGTGAGCATACCCCGTGCGGAGCTGACGCGGTCCTTCCACTTTGCAGCTGCTGGCGGCACCGAGCAACGACGCCCCAGGGAGCTCGTTCCAGTCTCTCCAGAGCGCAAACACTGCCCGCGACACCGCCTCAAAGATTAGGGAGGACCCGCTACTCGCCATCAAGAGGCAGGAGCAGCTGCAGTACGAGAAGATGCTCAAGGATCCTCGCAAGCGGCGGGAGCTTCGCGAGGCGCGCGCCGGATCGGCCGCGGCCAACCCCTCGCCCAGCCACCGCCACGAAGAGAGCAAAGAAGAGCGACGGGCTCGTCGCGAGGCGCGACGCGCGGAAAGAGCCAGTCGACACGAGGCCAGGAGCGGCTCGGGCCGGCGGGACACGCATCGGGACGACGACGACGAACGGGACCATTACGCCGACAAGGGCTCTCGCAGCCGTCACAATCATCGATCACGATCCAGGTCGCCGCGCCGTGACGACCGGGACCGACGGCGCACTTACGAAGATGGGTACGAACGGCCGGATCGTCAAGGTGATAGTCGTCGCGCGGCGCCTCCGGCTCGGTCAGAGGCCCGACGAGATTACTACGACGAGCGACGTTCTCCACCCCAATCGCGGCATCTTTACGAGAACTCGCAGACGCAAAACCAGCCCAGCTCCAGGAGGTCAATCCCTCCGGCTTCAGAGCACGTCTCGAAGCAGTCTCCGGCAGGACCGACCCAAGCGGCCGGCGAGGAAGAAAGGCGGCAAGCACTCGCCGCGCGGCTTGCGGCCATGCAGTCATCGGCAGAGACGCTTTCCGCCTCCCGTGCAGAGCGCCTGGTCAAGATGGAGGAGGAGGACGCGATGGCGAAGCAGCGAGAAGACGAGGAACGTAAGCGACGGGGCGATGTCGGACCGCGCTTCCTCAACCAGGCGCAGGGGCAGGTATTTGGAGGCAGCATGGATCTGGCGGAACGGATGAAGCGCAGTGGCCGCGTGGGGCTCGTCGGCGATCGGGATTGACGGCAGCGGCAGCCAATGATTCGGATGCATTTGAAGTCTTTCTACGGATATATCTGCGCCGTCTGGAGACTCTTTGTGCAGGGAGTGTGAGGGGTCCTGCCGATGGGGAGGGCTAGAGTCCAAGAGAACAAGCTATTGACCGAACTTCAGGCCATCGCTTCTTATGTCGCATCGATTCGCCGATGAAACGGCAGGCCGCTGACGACGGTGGCGAACGTGTTCTCTCGCATCCTGACGAGCGCGCCTGGGTCCCGAAGTTCAGCGAGGTCGTAGCTTGACCCGGCAACGGACCAAAGTGTCGACTCGAGCCTGAACGCAAAGCGAGGCGCAGATTGCCGATCTCAGTCTCCATTCATCCACTCCATTAGGTAACACAACAAGGCAAGGAGGAGGAAGGGCATACCGGCTCGGCCACGCATTACATAGTCGATCCGAGACTGCGCAGGTTGTCTTCGCCCTTCTGCGCCGAGCCATCGGATCCGGCGCTGACAGCCATCCGTGGTCGCATGCCGACAAGAGCGCAGCTTGTCCTATATTTTGACCGAAGCGCGCCCAACTGCGCGTTGATGTCGACGTCGGATGACTGTGCGATGGATTCGTCTCGCAACGTAGACGAGTCGTTGCTGGCGGGAAATGCGGAGACGAGAGCGCGGATCGCCTGTAGACTCTGTTGAGATCGACTGTGTGGAGCGAGTCGTTAGCGGTCCTGCCAGAAGGACGGACGGACGGACGACAGGCGTCAAAAAAAAAAAGGAAAAAAAAAAGGGACGCCGCGCACCTGACGTTCCCTGGTGTAGCATTCTGCAGGATTGCTTGCCACAGTTTTGCCGTTCCTTCGTAGTACCCGATCTCCTCCCAGAGCTCCCAGCTCTTCTCCCTGCCCAGTTCGCGTCCTTCGAAGAGCCCGTGCAGCTCTCCGTGTGGAAAGCCTCCGTCGAAGCCGGCCTGGTAGAATGTCTGTTCCAGCTCGAGCAGGCCATCGAAAGAAGCGTGAGCCGGCTCTGCAGCGTTGTTCGATCCGGCGACCATGATGTGCTGGAGGGAGAGAGGCTGATGTCGGTGTCGAAGAGCGAGAGTCGCCAGGTTGACCTCCGCCCAGTCACCCGACCGCTCGGGCCGAGCCTATCAAAGATGAAGACGCTACGTGCTCAGCGCGTGCTGATCGAGCCTGCTCTGAGCGACACTCAGCCTGCGCCCCTTTCTCCTTCAGCTCCCCACCTCGCGATCGGACAACCTTTTCGGGTTGCAGGAAAGCGAAGAGCTCACGCCGACGCCGCCACGCCGAGCGAATGCGCACGCTTGGTCACGCGGAGTACTCGCGACGGGAAGCAAGGTATGCAGCCGAGATGCTCTTGGCCGTCCGAGCCGTGGCGAGACTTTGCTGAGCGGGCTTTGTGATTGCAGTCCTTTCGATCCACCTCGACCGCTCGTTCTTCATCGGTCGAGCGATCGACTGCGACTACACCATCGCGCACCCAGCCGCCTCCAGCAAGCATTGCCGCCTGTACGCCCTGCAAGTCGACACGAGCGAGGTGCTCGTCTGTCTCGAAGACACTTCGACGAACGGCACGCTGTTCAACCAGCGCAAGATATCCCGAGGCACAGTCATCTTGAGCGACGGGGACATCATCGAGTCAGCCGATCGCGACCCGAGATGATGAAGCGGTGTCGCTGCGGAAGATCGCTCACGAGGGCTCTTGCTGTTTCAGGATCGCTGGATGTTGTTTCCGCTACGAACATGTTGCTCCCACTCCGGCATTGATCAAGGCACAAGTCGATGCGGCCTCAGGCAATGTCTCCCACGTCGGAGACTTTCTCGTGCTCTCAAAGACCCTCGGCAGCGGCGCTTTCTCGCGCGTGCACCTCGCGTTCTCCACAAAGGTGCACAGCCGCGCTTCACCCATGGGCTACCTGCCAGCGGAAGAAACTCACGACGAACACCTACCCTACAGTCGCTCACGCAATATGCCTGCAAGAAGATGCTGCGCCGGAAGACTCCTGGTGATCAGCTTTCGGTCGTCAAGCGGGAGGTCGAAATGCTCAAGTCAGCCACGCATGTACGGTCTGCCTCCCTAGACAACGCTCGCCTTGCATCAGGATTAACTGGTCATGGTGACGACAGCCGAATGTCAACCGGATCCAGGCCGTTGAAGTTGACGAAAAGCACATGTACGTCCGACGTCTCGAAAGTCAACGAGCCCCAAACAAGCTCGGACACTGACGTCTCTTGTTGCCGATCCACACAGCCACATCTTCCTGGAGCTGTGAGTTACTGGACCAGAAGGCGAAGGCGAGAGCCGTTCATTTTGACGAACAACCCTCATGACAGGGTGCCCGGCGGGGATCTCTTCTCGTACCTCATCAGACATGGCCGCCTGGACGCACCAGAAGGTACGTTCTCCTCACGAGCGCGCAAGTCACAGGAGAGCTGCAGTCGCTGCCCTGGGGTCGAGCGCGCCGAGGGCGAGAAACATGACGAATCTCGCGATCGCAGTCAAGTGGATTTTGTACCAGATGCTGCAGGGCCTCCGACACCTGCACGACGACGTCAACATCGCTCACCGAGATATCAAGCTGGAGAACGTGGTCCTTGCCTGCGCGGGTCCTTTCCCGAAGATTCAGGTCAGCGCGAGGCACGACCGTGAGATTATCCCGAGGAAACTGAGCCCGCCTTCTCGTCCGCAGTTGACCGACTTTGGTCAAGCACGAATTGCAGACGAGGACTTTCGTTCGCTTCAGGGTGAGCGTCGATCACTTCCCGAACATCGTGGCTCAAGCTCCTCGCGCTTACCGCCGAACTCTCCTTCGAGTTAGGTACCTTGCAGTACATGGCGCCCGAGCAACTCCTCGCTACCTCAAGACACGCCGGTGAGCTCGTTGCTCATGTCGGATCACGGGCTCGCAGTGCACTGAACTGCGCTTCGTACAGGCTATGGCGGGAAGCCTGCTGATGTCTGGTCGACCGTGCGTGATCGCCCCTTAAACCGGAACAGCGGCATGGACTCCTGACAGATACTCTACCCGAGTACAGGGTATAGTGTTCGCGTACCTGCTCACCGGAGGGCACCCCTTCGAGCCTTGGAATTGCAGCTCCTCGCAGGTCCAGCCAATGTCGCGCGACGTGATGAACATGCTTGGCGAGACAGCTTCTGCAGAAATCGAACACAGCCCACAAGACGGACCGATATGTCAAGCCATCGTCCGAGGTACTCTCTCGCTGCCGAAC